CACACCTCGTTTTGTGATCCTCGGCATCCCAGTCACAAAACCTGGAGGGCACTCCCGAGATTGAAACATGCCTTTGAAAAGTTCATTGGATCTCAAAGAATCTAGGAATTTCTAAAACACAATAAAAACTAAATATTTAATATTTCGGTTTTCATGGTGGAAATTGGTGAATCGTCATTCACCTACCTTTCAAATATGGTATAGCTTAGATTACGGCATACCTCTTCTAAGTTATATTATATGTGATTGGATCCTAGCCTTAATATTACATTTGGGTGTTTTATTAAGGACTCTCTTAAATCTAAACTAAACTTGTTCTTCTTTTTCAGATGTCTTCAATAATGCTTCTGGCTCGAATCCTAATGGCTCCTTTACTCTTATGAGTCTGTGTGGGAAAGTCACCTTTGATGGATCCAACTTCAATAAGTGGATCAGAAACATCAGGATGATTACCCGCTACGAGGACAAAGAATATGTCCTTGACAAGGAGCTTAAGGAAATTGACGAGTCCACTGCAACTCCCCAGGAGATCGCTGACTTTCATACTCATGAAAGAGATGCAACCAAGGTGGCTTGCATCATGTTAGCCACCATGACAGCTGAACTCCAAAAGTCTTATGAAGACTTCTACCCTTATGAAATGCACCAAGATTTGATGGAAAGATACCATCAAAGTGCACGACAAGAGAGGTACGAAGTCATCTGCTCCATGATAACAACCATGATGAAGGACGGAGAGTCCGTCACGAGCCACATGCAGAAAATGCAAAGGTATGTGGATCGTTGCTGAAGCTCAATGTGAACTTCCCTGAGGAGCTTGCAATAGATATCATTTTGCACTTTACCATCGTGCTATGATCAATTCCGCATGACATATCACATGAACAAGGAAGAGGTCACCCTCAGCAAACTTCAGGGACTTCTCAAGACCGCAGAAACAGGTCTTAAGGGGAAGTCGGTTGCTATCACTCCTACTCCAGAAACAACTCCGGTCTTGGCAATCGGGCAAAGTCGAGGGAGGAAGAGAAAGAGATCTTCAAAGGGTACCAAGGCTCGGACCCTTGATGGCTCTTCTTCAAGTGGAACCAAGAAAGGTTTCATTACTCCTTCTTCTGACCCAAAAGAGGCTGAATGCTTCTATTGCCATGAAAAAGCTCATTGGAAGCGGAACTGCCCAAAGTACCAGCAAGATGTAAGGATGGGAAAGTCAAACCCAACCATGCAGGTATTTACACTATCATTTCTAATAACTCACCCCATTCGAAATCTTGGGTCCTTGATACAGGTTGCGGTATTCATATTTGTTGTGACTTGCAGGGACTAGGAAGAAGTGAGAATGTGGAGCAAGGAAGAATAAACTTAATCATGGGGAATAGGAAAGTTACACCTGTCACCAAGATTGGAGTTTATACTTTATCGCTAAGTAGTGGGTTAAATTTAGATTTGAATAAATGTTGTTATTCGCCAGAAATGGCAAGAAATATTATTTCCTTTCATGCATTGTACAAACAAGGTTTCACCTTTTCGTTTGATAATGAAGTTGGTTCGATTAATGCTTTCTTTAATAATGTACTTTATTTTAAAGCATTACCTTGTGATGGTGTGTATGAAGCTGTATCTATTGTAGATAACTTAGGAAATAATGTTTTGTGTATTGATTCTACTAATAATAATAACTTGGATAAAGCATCATTATGGCATTGTCGTCTTGGACATATAAGCAAGAAACGCATAGGCCAACTCCAAAAGGATGGAGTCTTGGAGTCGTTTGACCTAAAGTCAAATGATAGTTGCGAATCATGCTTACTTGGAAAAATGACAAAGTCACCCTTCACAGGCTCGTGTGAAAGGGGTGAAGGTTTGTTGGACCTTATACACACGGATGTGTGTGGACCATTCAAACATGCCACAAGGATGCTAATCGTTATTATTTGACTTTTACTGATGATTACAGTAGATATGGATATGTCTACTTAATCAAGCATAAGTCAGAGACTTTCGAGAAGTTTAAGGAATTTAAACAGGAAGTCGAGAATCAATTGGGCAGGAACATTAAGATGCTTCGATCCGATCGAGGTGGTGAGTATCTTAGTTCAGAGTTCCTCGACTATCTAAAGGAATGTGGGATTGTCTCACAATTGACACCTCCCAGGACACCGCAGTTGAATGGTGTGGCTGAGAGGCGTAATCGAACCTTGTTGGACATGGTTCGTTCCATGATGAGTCGAGCTTCGCTACCAATCTCATTCTGGGGGTATGCCTTAGAGACTGCCGCCCATATCCTTAATCTAGTCCCTACAAAGAAAGTTGCCAAAACTCCTCACGAGATGTGG